ATATATACTAGTATATACAGGGTCGCAGCAGTGCGAGACTCCCGTTGCGTGAAACGTCTTCGTATAATTATAGTCACTGCGCCTGCCATTGTCAAATTGCATTCGCGGGAAACGAGCCGATGAGTGAAATTGTCAGCTAACAGATCGCAGATAGTTGTGGTTGAATTGCGTCGTCAATATGTGAGCTGTGATGGGTGCAATCTCGCCCGCTCTTTGCCTTCCTCACTCGCGTCTGCCATAGATCAATATTAACAAGAGCTCATGATAGAGACTCTATTATGTAATCTTTATATTAACCATACGACGTGATTGCGGCGCGCGTGAATGCCTTTGCCTAGTGTGTGTCTGAGTACGGTCGCCCATATGAACAAAACACAAGTACGCAGGTTAGCATGTTGGCAAACATATAAAGTTCGAGACGAAGCAAATAATTTTCAAGACAAACACATTTACGGACGCCAACTGCAACTTCATTTGAACGCAACGCATGTTCGCAAGTACGCAAGTAAACAAGTTGGCAAAGCAACTAATTATCGAAGCAAATACAAGTTCCATAAACGGAAATAGGTGATAGCACTAGCGCCCCCGTCACCCATTCACCTCCCCCCCCCCCTCATCCCACCCCTCACCCCACCCCCTCACCCCACCCCACCACCAATTTCCGTTTTGCAACTTGCTGTTTGCTGGCGTACTTGTGTTTGCGTACATGCGTACATGCGCGCTTGCGTGCTTGTGTTTTGTTCATATGGGCCACCGTATCTGAGCATATACACACGCGCACATCCAGCTCAATATTAACATATGAATGTTTAATGAATGTCAAATGAATGAAAAAGCAGTTTTTTTGGACGCGATTATGCATAATGAAATTATTCTCGGCCGAGTTTAATTTCTTACGTTACATAAAGTCGGTGGTATGCGCAACGTACGTTTTCGAATCGCACTCGCTGTTGCTGAGTTTCCCCGTCGAGCAGCGGCGTGACTGACTGCTGCGATGGTGGCCGTTGCGACTGAAGGCGTCGCTGTGGCGGCTCTGCGGCAGACTCCGTCTCCGGTTGCTGAATCGAAAATAGCCTCGCAGCCGGTTCTTCGACTCGCTGCTCATCATCCACGAGGCAAACAGGAACGGATTGATGCACGTCGACAGGAAGCCGATCCAGGAGAACAAGATGAAGGTGACGTCGAAGTAGCCGGCGTTGTTGTCCGTCTCGAAGACGAAGTGCGTCACGAGCGTGAGAATGTTCAGCGGGCACCAGCAGGCGGCGAACAGCGTTACCATAGTGATGAGGTACTTCTGCGTGCGACGCTCCTGGTTCGAGTCGAAGTCGTCGTCGTCCGAGCGCAGGCTGTGCTGCACGTGCGGGTGGCTGGCGCTGCCGTGGTCCTCGGACGCTCGGTGATCGCCCTCGCTGACGTTGGTCGACCACGTGACGCGCGACACGGAGGTGGCGCTCGCGTCGCTGTGGTTGCGCATGCTGGCGTAGTGGGCGTCGTAGTCGTAGTGGCGGCCATCTGCCGACAGGATGGGCGGAACCTCGGAGAATTGGACAATCGTGAACGGACCCTCGCGCACCTTGATCTCTGCGGACACCTTGACGTAGAGGAAGGCGATGATGGCGAGTGGTACGGCGTACAGGCAGACGAACATAGCGCGCGTGTACTCCTCGATGTTTCGCTCGACGTTGACGAGACATAGCCCGACCCCGTCGAAGTCGCTTCCCAGAAAGAAGCCGAGGTCTATGTACTTGACGTATATGGCGTAGGGCAGGACGAGGCATACCGCCAGAACCCAGATACCGATGATGCAGAGCCCGGCGGGAACGCGCGACTTGATCGGGTGTAGAATGAGCCTGTACCGCTCGATGGCTATCGTCAGGTACGTGAGCATGGACACGTGAACGGGAAAGTACTGCAGCATCGGAAGAAAGAAACACATGAAGCTTCCGTAGATCCAGTTCTTAATTAGTAGATTGGCGAGGCTGATCGGCAACACGGCAACGCACTTGGTAATGTCCGACACGGCCATGTTGCCCAGTAGCAAATACGTCGGGTCTCGGAGACGCTTCTTCATGATTGTGTACAGGATGAGAACGTTTCCCGTCGTGCCGACGAGGCACACGAGGCTGTAGACGAAGATGAACAGCGGGTACACGTAGCGCAACGAAATGCGCAGAATGGGCTTAGTTGGATCAATGGTCTCGTTGTGCGAGTCCGAGAGGATATCGAGTATAAGCCTCAGGTAGGTTTTCGTCGGATCCTCGACGCTAATGCCGCCCTCGTTCCTCTCTTCTTCCCCCTGCATGATGCCTGTCGCGCGAATAAAAAACCAACGAGCAATTAACCGTCCCTTACCGTGTCCGGGCCGCGTATAGTTACCGGCGCTCTACGACTGCATGCATGCTACACCGCAGTAACGAGCATCTACTGTTTCGCTCGGGTCGGTAAAGGTCTAATGTAACACCGGCGATTATGCACCGACGGAAATACTTATCAATCTCTTCGCAGTGATGGCCTGGCTGGCGCGATGACTTTCGGAATAGCTTAGCAGGTTCTAGCGACGCTCGATCGCTGCACTGCCGACGTGTCGTCGCGAGAGATGTCCGAGAGAGCTGAGGTCGAATCGTGATGTCTCGTCAAGCTGCAAATCACTGGTCAGCCGCAGTTTATTTATCGACTTCGGTTAATTGCGGCTGTCGATCGTATACGGTGTGTTTAAATAGTGCACACACGCACACCACTCACTCGTCCAGTGATGAAAGTCCGGGAACGAATCGTCTGTCCGGGAATACCGATCTAGAGCGCAAGCATCGTAGGGTGCGACTGCAATCACGGTGCATACGGCGACGGGGGGCGAGTCTAGACGGCTGGACGCGTGGACAAGAGAGCCTCGCGGGAGAGCGTGCGACACGACGACGTGAACGGTAGACGCTGCACTGATGTTGTGGCGGAAATAGAGTGCGCGATGCGCGCATGCCAGGCAGTCGGCTACAGCCGCGCAAACGCGAAGCTGGCGCGGCAGCTCGCTGCGTGTGGGCAGAGAGCACTCAGGTTCGCCTGTGCCGCAAATTGATGCCGTCGCTATGGTAACAGAAGCCTCAAAGTAATCAGCTGCGGTCGGGAAGTGCGCCGTTTTCTGCTCGACGGAAATAACACCAGGAAACAAACGCAATGGCCGAGTTGTTACATGCGTTATATGTATAGAATATATTTGCTAATTATCGAGTTCGTGTTGATGTCACACAGATCATGTTGTTTTTAGCCCTGACTGAAACTGAAAATCGATATCAAGATTTGCACATGCGTGTGTGTAGTAGTTGTAGCAGCAGTAGTAGCGCTGATTAAACGTAAATATTAAATGTAATTAGGAATTGCGATTGTATGCGGACATGTATTAGTTCGCTAGGTCTTTGGTACCGCACCCAACTACAATTCAAAATAAAATTCATTGTATAGTACAGTGGTGTACGTGTGATTGCATATTATATATATATATATATATATATATATATATATATATTATTAGAGAGAGAGAGAGAGAGAGAGAGAGAGAGAGAGAGAGAGAGAGAGAGAGAGAGAGAGAAGAGAGAAGAGAGAGAGAGAGAGAGAGAGAGAGAGATAGAAAGCGAAAAGGATACAGAGAAAGAGACAGTGTTAGAGAGAGATTGATCATTAAATCAATTAATTAGCACAGCTGCTGTTTACTTATCTTAAATTTATACTGCATAGAGCTATATCAATATCACAATTGATCAAGATGACATTTATTTCGTGCTTATAATGTCTTAGTTTGCATCTCCATGTGATTATAGACAACATAATGTCATAGAATTGTGAATAATATTTTATGTATATAAAAATAATAATTATAAATTATAACAATTTTAAATCGTACGTACTACGTAGTGATACGTAATACTGTGGTTTTGCACTTTTATCCATCCATCCACTCATCATTCATTAATACATCCATTCATCAATTCATCCATCCGTCCATCCGTCCGCCCGCCCGCCCGCTTGGTGGTCCGCTCGGCCGTCCGTCCATCCGTCCGCCCGGCCGTCCGTCCATCCGTCCGTCCATCCGTCCGCCCGGCCGTCCGTCCATCCGTCCGCCCGGCCGTCCGTATATCCGCCCGCCCGTCCGCCCGCCCGCCTGGTGGTCCGTCCGCCCGCCCGCCTGGTGGTCCGTCCGTCCGCCCAGCCGTCCGCCCATCCGTCCGCCCGGCCGTCCGTCCATCCGTCCGTCCTCCCGGCCGGCCGTCCATCCGCCCGGCCGTCCGCCTAGCCGTCCGTCCGCCCGGCCGGCCGTCCATCCGCCCGGCCGTCCGCCTGGCCGTCCGTCCTGCCGGCCGTCCGTCCATCCGCCCATCCGTCCGCCCGGCCGTCCGTCCATCCGTCCGTCCTCCCGGCCAGCCGTCCATCCGCCCGGCCGTCCGCCTGGCCGTCCGTCCTCCCGTCCGTCCATCCGCCCGGCCGTCCGCCTGGCCGTCCGTCCTCCCGTCCGTCCATCCGCCCGGCCGTCCGCCTGGCCGTCCGTCCTCCCGGCCGTCCGTCCATCCGCCCGTCTGCCCGGCCGTCAGTCCGCCTGCCCGCCCGTCCGCCCGCCCGTCCGCCTGGTGGTCCGTCCGTCCGCCCGTCCGCCCGCCCGCCTGGTCGTCCGTCCGTCCGCCCGCCCGGCCGTAGTCCCGCCCGCCCGCCTGGTGGTCCGTCCGTCCGCCCGCCCGTCCATCCGCCCGTCCGCCCGCCCGCCTGGTCGTCCGTCCGTCCGTCCGTCCGTCCGGCTGTCTATCTGTGTAGCTGGCTGGCTGTCTGGCTGTTTCACCGCGCGCGTGCCCAATTAATTAATATAGTCTAATGGGCGCGTAGCGTAGAAACGTGAGTCAGAAATCAGAGATATTTTACTAAAATTAGCTTGACTATAATCAAGTACATTATTAAAATCTCCAACGCCATATTTAGACAACATCGCAATTACAGAGACATCGCCAAAAATAGAACACAAAAAGTCAAGTAATTTTACATCTAGAAAACAATTGTAATTGAGACAATTATTGCCAAATCTTCCTTGTTGTATCTCTGAAACCGATGAAACGGTATGGCTGGTAGATATTGCGGTTTTGCTATTCTTTTAAATTATGTCTTTTAAGATTGTTATTAAATATACAGTAACATTCAAAATGCCCACTCAGAAAAACATCATTCGGTGATATAATCGAGTAGTGCATGCTTTGCGTTTCTACAATACTTTAGTTAATATCTGATAAAATGTAAATTGTTAAATGCATGGCAAAGAATGCAAAATATGGTAATTTTACGAAATTTTGTTAATAAATTAGGGAATAATGCCTCGAACGGTAATAAATAAACGCATAAAAGCCAAAAATATACGATATGGTGAGCAAAGAGCTTGGCAATAAAGACTAGAACATAAGTACATTGTTATCGTCACCCCCACGTCCGCCGGGAGCTGGATTATAGCAGTATAGGTCTAACGAGGATAGCGTGGTCGGTGGGTGTGGGATTAGAGACTACATGATTCGCCACTAATCTGTCACCCAGAGTTGATTGAATAGGCGCGTTTACGCACCTGAAACGCTTATTGCACATCATTTCTCCATTCTAAAATTACGGTCTTGTGAATACAGCGGTAGCAAAATGCGAGTGTTTCACCACAGACCACCTGCGGATATACCCGCACGCATACACATGACCGTACTTACACCATACCCACGCACATTCACGCACCCACACAATCCGACTAGTGTCTTACTCCACACAATAGCAAAATTCAGAAAGTAACAGCCCTTAATTGTATATAGCATATCACTATCAGCAAAGTGAAGCCATTGTAGTTTATTCTTCATCGTATTTCTTTATGTATGGTCGCTATATAGATACTGTATAAACTTAACAGAAGAAAGGAATATTACCAACGAGCCAATAACAACTAGAAAGGGCAGTTGTCGCCAACTACATGTTTCCCCCGTGTTCTCCCCAAGATGTGTAAGTATACGAAATTTGGTCGCGCTAGGTCAATTAGGGACTGAGTTATAGAGCGAAAAGGAAATATGATGAAGGTCAAGGTCAAGGTCAAGGACAATGTCAAATAAAGGTTGCAGTGACCTGGTTTCGGTACGCGACACACCTTCTCCCCAAGATGTGTAAGTAGACCAATTTTGGTCACGCTAGGTCAATTAGGGGTCGAGTTATAGAGCGGAAGGGAAAATCTCTGCGGCGGACCGAGCGACGTCGGCGACGGCTGTACAGACATGAAACCATAGTATCCCCGCCGACTTCGGCGCGGGGGATACAATTAACTATAGAACTGCTGGGGACATAGGTTCCCCCCTATTAGGGGAAAACTCCATGTCCCCAGGCTATTTTAGCTGGCAACATATCAAAATGAGAAGTTCATTCGCAACTCAATAGCAACTACACAGTGAAAGTAGAGACTGCCGCAACATTTAAATAATAGATGACAGTGCGATATCCACTTACGTTGGTTGCTCTTCGCTATCCTGTAGGATAGTGCAAGCTTCGGTAAAAATCTCACAGACAGTTCATAACATCGTCAACATGTACAACGCGAGTCGGAGTAGGACTAATGAAGCGAGCAGTAGATTTGAGAAGTATGACGGTGTCATGAGCTGTCTGTAATATTTCTACGACCTCTACCTATTATACGACGATATTTGTTTCGTTCGATATTAATTTGTTTACAAATCTGTATTTATATACAAGTGGTTTCTTAAAAACACGTTGATTACGCACGCACGCGCGCGCGCACACACACGCACGCACACACACACACACACACATATATATATATATATATATATCAGGGGGTAATAATGACAATTTGTCATCCATGTTTAAATTGGTAACTGATCTACACAGGGGTGAGTTAGCACTACGATGGCACATTATACTTACACTGCACACTACATTACATTCGGTGCAGCGGTAAATATAGTCAGTCATGTTAGCAATGGAAAGTGGCAAGAATCGAACAAAAATCAAAACTGATTGGCAATGCCAGCAAGCACAACGCTGTTTTAACGTAAACGGGTTAGTGCGAAGTGTAGTGAGTCGGACGAATAAGTCAACGCGGATACCGATTCATCACGTGCTAGTGCAAATTTATCTGACAGTGGCGGTTCACAGACGAGCTTTAGCGAGAATTGATCGATGATACACGCTGAAGGACGGGATAGGTCGACTCGTGACTAGCTTATGTCAAACACGTACATAATTAAAACTTCACCATTGCGTGCGTATCTCAAGCAATATACATATATATCAGGAGTAGATCCTGATATATATAGATAGAGAGAGCCATATTGTGTAAAGCTAAGTGTCAGATTATTCTTTTCTTAACTACCCACTCAACATCGTGCAACCTAGAACTTTTCTACTACGTATAGATATATATATATATATATATATATATATATATATACACTACATATATCATGCATACAAGGCGGTAGTAGGTAAAGCGGTGGTAGGGCGCAAGTATTTGAATGACATGATTCATCATATATTTCAGATTTTTCCCTCATAGATTTGTGTAATCTATAATCATGATTTGTGTAAACCCATTTAAAAATATAGTCCCAATATAATACACAACTGCCCGTACCATTCAGATGTCAGCGGTGGTAGGGCGCAAGTATTTGAATGACATGATTCATCATATATTTCAGATTTTTCCATCATAGATTTGTGTAATCTATAATCATGATTTGTGTAAACCCATTTAAAAATATAGTCCCAATATAATACACAACTGCCCGTACCATTCAGATGTCACTACATGCTCCCTTGCAGTTACATAGCTCAGTGCAGGGAAGACTTGATGACCGACATCCACTTGGCATTTACAGCCCTTCTTGCAGCCACAATGCACCAACTCATAGCACGACACATCGATGCCTCCTGTCGTATTGTCCAAAATGGTCCAACCTGTACTGTATACTCCGTATTAATCCACTCACTCCTATCACGATTTGTTCCTTCATATTTCTCTCGTTTTCAATCACGCGCATGCATGCGGGCACGCACGCTTCCATTTATGCTAATTTTATTTTTATTTAATTAATTAATTAATTTTTATTAAAAGTAAATATACTATAGATAATGTATAACCGATTGATATACAGCTACTTGTTGGTTACGCTACTGTCTGAGGTTTAGATGGTCATTACCAGCAGGTGGCAGCAGTGGTTCGTTTTCCTTCTGTATAGGAGGTGTACAACAGTAACGTCTACTAATATACTAATATATTAATATAGTAATATAGTAATATAGTAATATACTAATATACTAATATACGCCTAAGCACTATATCGTCTCTAGAAAATGCATTTTTTCGCCTTTTTTTCCCGCAGAAATTCGGCACTAGAGTGCAATAAGTTGCATTATGCACACAAGTTAGATGCCTCGTGGACGTCTAGA